CGCGGGAACCCATCCCTAAAGTCGTCAAACTTGACCGTCTTATGACCCTGCCCGCGAGTTCGTCGTCATCATCAGCCGAATGCAGGTTCAGTGCGCGGCAACGGCCGAAAACTTGCTTCGCTTGATAATGACGCACAAGGGAATCAATACAATACCAGTGAGTCGCGAGCTTCGCTTCAGCCTGGGTCGAGTGGGTTCAGTTTATCAATAATATATGCTAATGATATAGATAACCGTAATCAGCTTATTAATAATATGCCGTCATCATTTTGGTCAGTCAAAGTGAGTCTGCACTTTTTTAAAACATTACACGCACAAAAGAAGTCCACTTGTTAGATGACGTTTCGCTGCGCTTAGGGCCGTACCAAAAACAGCAGTGGTGCAAAGCAGGAAAGAGCATGTAAGCTCTGTGATCCGCGAGCAGCGTGCCTTAGGGATATTTGCATTGCAGACAATATCCTTGTTAAATGTGTGGCCAAGTCATAGCGTAGCTTCTAGGTAAAAATACACGACTTTGCAACCTACGAAGCTTTTGCCACCGGGCATGCCACGTTTATACACTGTTATGACTGAGTGGCCTTAGATGATAGTATGCAGGGTGCTAAAAAGAAGCTACAATACTGCGAAAATATATTTATGCCGGCTTTGAGCAATCGACGTCATTCGAAGTTGGGAGAGGGGGATAGATATAGTCACGTTATTTATGTCTTTCTAGCCCACGTGGCAAATGTTACATTTTCATAAAGTTGCATGGGTACTAGTTACTGCCCCGCTCTCCGGTTTCCGCGCCCCATGCCTTGCGGCAGTGCAGCTCAAGGCATCACCTTGCCTTACATCGAGCTTAAACGCGAGGCCCTGACAAGTTCCGATTGTGGAAAAGGACTGTTTTTTGTGATTGATCTACCCTGTAGTCTGGGGCCGATGTGCCTGCACTCCTTGCAGCAGCGGCTATCCTAACATTAGTTGAATGACATTGTTCGTTTCGATTGTGCACACGATATTGAAAATTGCGTTGACGAAAATGGCTTTCGGTGATACGCCTATTGCTGTTGGAGCTACTGGGCATGAACTTCATTGTTATTTTGTTTCGGATGGTCTCACGCTACACTGCTAGCGACGATTCTTCCGCATAGATTCGATCGGCGGCAAAAACTTTTTTTAACCACTGGGTGCGGTGGCTAACGTCAAAGTCTGTGCCAAATCGCCTGGCTCGCTCCTGACCGTCGTAACCGGTCGGAAATAGCCCTACCGCAGTTCGTGACACTTGGCCTCATGGTTCGCCGGGACGCTCAAGTAACCCCCGCTGACTTGACATACTCGCAGCCGGCTAGCTCTCGCCGTGCCAACTCCACCCCGGCCGCGGGCGGGAGCACGGTCGCTGCCGCCCCCATGTGTCTCACAGTTCGCTGTTCAAGGGACTGCTAGCCGTCATGCTGTGGGATGATCTGAGCTCTTTAGAGAGCATAATCATTGTACATCCAGCCATTAATTTGGATGCATTTGTGGGTATGTATATCCACGTCGTCTCCGCTATCTCATCTAAAGAAGTGCGAGGACGTGGCTTATTTTGGCACCTGCATTTTTGTTTACGGGTGAAGCTGTGACCCGACTGAGCGCGTCTCGACCCCGCCCGGCCCGACCCGAACCGACCCGACTGAGCCTAACTGAGCCAGACCAGACTGAGCCGGCCCGACTGAGCCCGACTGGGACCGGCCCTGTCCGACCCGGTACGGCTCTGCCGCCACGCTTTCTGGAATATCATGTTTGCCGCCAACCCCGCCGCAGCTTTACGCAGTGTGGGCTGCAAGAAAGGCAGACTCAAAGCTGTGGTGCGTTATTGAGTGGTGTTGGTTAACATGCACATTGAGCATGTGCCATTTTCCGCCAAAGTCCCTTTTGAAAGATGTGACATTTCCCATTCATATAAACTGAGCGTCGTTTCTCTGAGCCATTTAAAAACAAAACATGCTCTAGTGAAACCTCAAGACTAGTTACGTCTGTTGACAGCACTGGGTAGTGTCGCTGCAGCACCGTCAAACGCTGTCAACGCTTTGTTCCAGCATTGTATTTTCCTTGCAGTCAAGGCCACCGTGGTCATGACACTCGCTGTGCGCCGCACCTCTCTCTACTGGTGCGAATAAAAGAACGTGTGTGATTGGTCCAGCGGGCAAGGGACTGCTACCGAGAAGCGCATTGGTTGAAGTTGGAGCCAGTGCGTCACATGAGCCATCTGATACTTCCATTCCTAAAGCCAAAGTTCGCCTAAAAAAGTCGGCTTGCTAAACGGCAGGAAAGAAGTCAAAGCTTTAGGAGAAAATCGTTGAATTTCAGGGACAATAGCTTCATGTTCGCATACATTTATATCTAAGCAATGTTTCATGCTTTCGTAGCATTTGTTACACAAACATTTTGACACATCACTATGTTGCAAGCACATTTTGACAGTTGAAAAAAGCAAGGCAAATGCAATGCATTAGTCCTATCGTGGTGAACACGGAGTTAAATGAGATTCCTCCCGTAGGACCAGCCACTTCAAACCGAAATTCTGTCCAATTCAGGATTTCGAGAAAAATGGAATTAATGATCAAATTGTACGAGTCTGATGTAACCAGTAGAAAGTACGAAATAGGCGGGATGTACTCCATTTTATGCGTACTATGTGTACTATGTGTATTATTCCATTAAATGTATACCCTATTTCACATGCGAAGTACACAATTTGCCGACTGTGAGACAACTGCACGACCTGGGGTGAAGCCAGACATAGATTTCGACGACCCGTGTCGCAGTGATACGGAACCCACCGTCTGGGAACTGTGAGTGTGGACCACACATTGCTGTGCGATCGGTCACATGTGCTCGACTGTGGACCAACACATTCGCAAATTTTCTCGCCGTTTTTCAGACCTGCTGTTTCATTTCAACAACTAGAGCAGACCAAGACGTGACATTGTCTGCGTCACGAGGGCGAATGCGCCGTCTGCTGATCAGTAAGGGGTATCAGCACTGTCCTACGCATAGGTGTCTCAATAATCTACTCCGGGACGATACGTCACCTCTTTTGAAACCGGTCCGAATACATAGTATCGTGGCTTAAGCCAAGGGAAAGGCTTGGCTACGAAATCCAACATCGCTAGCCCAGTTCACTGTGGCAAGCATCTAGTCAAAATAGCTGCGGTTTCGCAAATTTTTGGTCACAGCCAGCAAGTGCCCAAATAATTTTGCCATCACAATGTCGTCGACTGAAATCGCCGAGCCTCACCACCCTGCTACATAGCCGGTTTTCTGTGTTTCAAACTCCGAAACAGTTAGTGACAAACAAAAAGATCGCGGAGTTGCGTACCGTATATGTTGCGTAAATGCGCACCATATGCGGTGATGTCAGTCCTGAGGTACACTGAGACCCCTCAATACTCTTTGAGCCCCTAATGCAAATGAGCTAAGAAGGGAATGCTGGGTCACTGAAATGCAGCCAATGTCTTGACTGCTGTTGCACTAGGTAACTAAACGCATCAGTTTCGAAATGGTCATCATCACATCTCATCATTATTGCTATCACAGCAGCTTCAAATGGGAAGTAATTCCTCAACATGACAGCAATTTTCGAGTCGACCTTTTTATTCCAATTTTGTCGTTAGGGGCGCAAATCCGCATGCCACAGGCCGAAATCCCGGGAGAGAGCGCGATTCCGGGGTACGTTAGGCAAACTATTGGCCCAGCCCCCTCAACCGATTTTAGAAAATGCCACCCCCGTCCACAGTGCCGCGCCCGCACGCAAGCAACTGTGGTGTGGCCGCTGGCAAACGCTGCGCCAGAATTCAAATGCAACTGGACATCCGGCCGGAGGCCAGCCAGGTACCGCTCACACTACTGCAAGGGCATCCGAGGAAGAGGTACACTGTGTGACCAGCTGGGTACAAGCTGGGATACCTGGACGGTATCTTCATCCGTTTTAAACTAGGGACTGGGCCCTGGCACGGCCCATACCGAGCCGCGCTGCTGTAAAAACCTGCGCGGCCGGAGGCACGATAAAATGCTTCCTGGGGTCGGAGAAGGTCCTGCCTCTCCCGCCTAGTCGGATCAGCAGTTTTTTTTTTACACATTGCTTATCGAACTATCGTAATTAGGGTGCAAAATCTTGCTAACGTTAAATGATTAAATATCAAAGTGCAAGCAAGACACCCCGTCGCCAAAGCAGGAATTGCTCCCGTCGCGTTGTGCCTTAGCATGTTTGCAAGACCACAAGCAGCCACTGAAGCTTGTGGGATGGGAGGTGGGGGTTGGGGGTGGGGGTTGTAATGACAGGAGTGGTGGATTGCTTCTGCAAGTGGGAAGGCCAAGGCTAATTTCCTCGACAGGGTCATTGTCAAACTTGTGGGGCATGGAGCAGGGTGATGATGAGGGGGGGGGGGAGGGCGAGAGAAATGTATACAAAACCCAAAACGCGTGCGGAGGTGTTTCTTATGCGCTATGCATCCATGCCAGCGGGCCGCGTGAGTGACGTCGCCCCGCTGTTGCGCGATAGCCGGAATACAGCCTTATCAGGCCCCATCGGGCCGCATTGCTGAGTCGCACCCTCTCATCTCATGTCGCGCCGCGCCGCGCTGCGTCGCATGAACAGCGCAGCGTGGGGCAACAGCAAATATTCCATTATATGACCCACTTACCCTACCCTCGCCCGTATTGCGGCACCCGACACCCCAAGGTCAGCCGGCCGCGGCACGCCGCTGCCTGCCCACACTCAGCACTTCACCACCCGGTCGAATGATGACTCCCTTGGAATGCTCCTTCCCTTCCCATCGCAGCACTTGAAACCTGACAGTCTCCCGCGACGTTCGGCCGATTCGCTGCCACTGTTCCCCGGGCTGCACCTTCCAACGTCCCATGGACGACGCCGCACGCACAAGCTACCTTAAACGCGCTGCGACGCGGGCGGGAGGAACTGATCGACCTGCCCTCTCTCGGCCGGCGGCTGAAACAGTGCGCCGCGTGGCAACAGGCCTCTCGCGCCGCGTCCCTGAGCTAGTTGCGCGGCCCAGCGGGTCACGCGGGCGTTGAGCGGCAGCACCGCAGCCCTATTCCGCGCGCAGCAGATTTCGCCCCCGCCTTCGTCAGAACACGTGTGTGGCGCGCGGGAAGTGAGGACCCCGTGCGAGTTGCTGCCGGAGGAACAGCGAGACCAGGAAGGTGAGCTGCTCGCGGCTGGGTGCGGCAAGACCTTTGTTGTGCAGTGCGGTGCAGGCGGCGGCGGCTAGCGCAGGATGCAGTGAACTGAGACTGACGCGCACGCGTGGCACTGGGTGGAATACGGTTTTGTGACGACTTTTTGTGTTGGTATGGGTGACTTCAGTCGGAAGCAGTCCTCCGGGGTAGGGCTGCTGCTCCCATGTTCTGGTTAGCGAAGCGGGAACGATTTTCGGAATTGGATGCTTACAGTCACTTTCACTCGCACCGTTTGTGCTTGAACTTCTATTCATGTACAAACGGGCCGTCATGTGGCTCAATAAGTTTGCTTTGGTTTTGGTTCGACCGTTTTTTTCGTTGGAGGTGGTCTAACGGTGCAGGATGAGCATCTGCACGTTGCATCAGCCTTTTGCAAGCTGTCCCTGCACAATACCTGTACCAGGGATGCGGGGTCACATCCAGTTGCGGGTGAGAGGGGGCCCGTCCCCCTCCCCCAACTTACAGCCCAGCTAGCGATGCCACCTTGTATACCTTCAGGAGGGGGGGGGGGGGGGGGGGGGGGGGGGCTGAGCCCTTCCCGCTCCCAATGCTCGCTTCAAGTCCGTCAATGCTTGTCAAGTCCGCCCCCCCCCCCCCCATGCATATGAACAAAAAGGGTACTGTGGCAGTGGAATGCAGCAAGCGTCTGAGCTGCTGGTACACCAGTTACCTAAATGCATCATTATCATTACCATGTTCAATGCATATGAGTACCATTACCATCGTCATGTTTAATCACTATCACTATCACATGGGCCTTAATTTGGAAGTCATCCTTCAATGTCGAAACAATTTTGGAAGCTATCAAGTATTTTTTTTTAAAAACTGTGTGCAAACATCAGGGACGCAAGACAAAGCGGCCGAAATCCGGGAAGAAATCAGGATTTGGGTGTAGGTCAGAATAGCTCAACTGGCCCAACACCCCCTCCCCCCACGATCGATTATAGAAAATGGCAGTGCTGAGCCCAGCCCACCCATTTGACAGAAAAGTCTGCCCCGAATTTAGAACCATGCTCACGAAAAATACAAGCGATTTTCAGAAGAGGTATACGCTTGTTCCTCTAAACGACGATGAAGGAGTGAAATACATGGAGAAAGCAACGTATGGGACAGCATTAAGCCCATTCAATCAGGACTAAGCTCCCTCTCACCAACTTGTTTGCGAAACTGCGCCCGGGACCGGCGTGATCGGTAGGCAGATAGAGCCGCGTACGTTCTGTAGATAGAGCGCTGTTTTATCGTCTTGATAGGTAGCGCCATCTCTTGGCAAAAATGTGACAAGGAAATATGATTTTTCATGGCAAGAGCGCCGTCCCAGGCAAACATGTGACGAGGAAATACGTTTTTTTCATTGTATGTGTCCATGTGGCTTGTGGGAGAAGTGGTGTCCGCGCACCGCGTGTGAGGAGCGATCGGTGAGCTGCACTGGGAAATCGCTGCTTGCTGTTGGGACGAAAATTGGTCTGCTTGCTGTTGGGACGATCCTTCATTCCCCTCTATCTACTGTACCGTACTGTACTGTACTGTAAAGAATGGTTCGGTATGGCGGGCGACCGGTCCACTGTGAGGTACAGTGATTCCATTACGATTGACTGTCTTTCCACTGAGAGATGGTGGGTGCACTGCGAGGGAGGGCAGACTGTTCACACTGGACGCCTTTATTTACGTTGGAGGGACGGACGATCAGTCAGTGGGTCCGTCGTTCGCCTGTCCCACTTCACGGAAGAAAGAAGCTCCCAAGTCAACTCCTTTAGACGCATATATCCCCTTTCCGGCCGTGATGGATAGCCGAGTTAACGTCCCCCCCCCCCCCCCAGATCGGATCGGTTTCTCCACCCACCATGGCGCCGGTCGGATCGGTCTCCCCAACCACCATGGCGCTGGCCGGATCGGTCTCCCCACCCACCATGGCGCTGGCCGGATCGGTCTCCCCACCCACCATGGCGCCGGCCGGATCGGTCGCCCAGCCCACCATGGCGCCGGCCGGATCGGTCTCCCCACCTGCCATGGCGCCGGCCGGATCGGTCTCCCCACCTGCCATGGCGCTGGCCGATCGCCTACCGACCCGACCTGGCACACTGGTAATTGGCAAAACAGACCGCAGCAGCCGAGCAGCCCTTCAAACAGACAACCATGCCAGCTGTGCCGCAGACAGATATGAGTGTTGAGGGGGCTGGGTGGGAGGTGTGAGGTGGGGGTAGGGCGCGAGCAGCTCCCGAATGGCGTGGGTCGGATGGAGGGGACAGGGGCAGTATCAGGCGTGTACAGTCGCCGCTTTCCGCTCTATCCACGGGTTCTGAATAGACAAAATCTGGTTGGTTATTATTTCATTTTCTTAGAAGCAGCAGTGCATTCATTAATGAGATGTCAGTGCAATACACGAACGAAAATGTTGTTTACTTTTCTTTTAAGGTGGAGAGGTGTCTGGATGCTAGTTTTGCCATTTTTATGGGCCCTCGCGGTCGTGATGTGCAATCGGATTCCACCGGCGTCTGATTATTTTTTGAATCATGAGTTACATCAGCAACGATGGCCGCTGTGCATTGCCGCAACTTCCGCCGTTCGCTCACGGGTCGTTAGTTTTAAACGTCATATTTCAAAAAGGCAAAAAATGGAACTGTACTGAGAACGGGCCGGGGGCACCGGCCAGCCGGGGTAGTAAAAAAGGAATGGCATGCTAGTATGTTTTAAACGGAAGATCCTGAGCGTGAAAGGGAAGAGATGGGCTTGCCAGAGAGCTGGTAATGAAGACAGAAGAGAATGGTAGGCATAATAAGGGTCAAACACTGTGACCCGAATGTTTGAGCACGATGTTGTTAGTTTTTTACCCTGCGTCGCCAAATATCGGCCGCCGCTCACTAGCGGTAGTGGCACACGAGCGTGCACATACTGCTCCTCTTTCGCAATCTCCCGGAGCAGGAGAACGGAAGCAACTGCCAGGTGATCGAGCACTACATTGTCTGCAGAAGCGGGCTGTCTGCGAAGTGTACCGATTTCGTAGCGGGAAGTTCGACGAGCCCTGCACCTGCGATGGCACCTCATTTGTTGTTATTACTCCCCGTCACCTGTCTGGGTTTGGCGTCGCGGCTCTGCGCCTGCCACCACCGGCGTCGAGGTGCGGACGGCACGCGTCGGGAGACCGCATGTGCCGTCGGGCCGGCTCGCTGCTGTCGCTGGGAACACGTCCTCACTGCGTGGCAATTGGCCTGGATGACTGGGTGGAAAGCTCATGGGCTGAAAGCATCCCAGGCGCCACCAGCACGCCTGCTCCCCACGCGCGGGTTGGTCAGCCTGGCAGCGGCTGGAGGCATGTCGAGCCAGAGACGGCTGTTCACCCACCGGTCTGGCGTGAGCTGGTGTTTCGCTGCTGAATGATCGTCGGGTGAAAAGAAAACACGTCCACTCGGCTTTCCTCGCCCGTCAAGAAAGTATGGCCGGAAATAGATGGGCGCGGTGCCATCGCTTCTGTCTAGAGAGGTCGGCTTGTTGGCTACCGCGGACTCAGGGTAATGGCACCGACCCAATGACGCGGCCCGACTGGGTGCTGAATCACTTGGATGTTTCGCTTCTGTGCGGTGCGTCGTAGACGTGCCATGTAGATGTCCTGGTCACCGCGTACGTGGCGTAGCTACGGCTCACCATTCCGACCCACTGTTTCTCTTTCCGTTGCAGGCTGACCGCGTGAGGGCCACTGCCTCGCTGTGGATCCGCTGCTGCTCCGTCCCGCGACGGACTGAACGCCCGGCTCCCGCTTTCACTGACGCACCGCTGCCCCGCTCCGTTGCAGACTCACCATGCGGGTGCCGCTGCCTCGCTGCCTGCTGACCTCGCTGCGGGGTCAGCGGGGCGGGGCGCGCTCGCTCTTCACGCTCTCCGACTCGTCGCGGTCGCCGGCCTCGGTGCCGCTGACCCGGGACACGTTCGGTCTGAAGCGCGGCGAGTTCGCCGAGCCCACCTCGGATGACCTGAGCACGCTGAAGCAGCTGGTCAAGGGCCGCATGGAGAGCGACGAGGACGACCTGATCAAACACAACACCGACTGGCTGCGCACGCTCAGAGGTGGGGCCGCTCGGATGGTGCTCAGCTCGGTTGTGATTGAGCTTTCAGTGTGCTGGACTGTATGGTCCCGTGGCATCGATCTTGTGTGGATGTGAGGGTGCTGTATGTGATGCGATGGTAAGCGCCTTTGCTATCAGCTTTTCACTGTTTACTTTGACAGCCATTTTGTGACTTTGTGCTAGCCTGGATGGAATGGCAGTAGCAGATGGCCTGCTGTAATGGCTGGTTTGATCTTCTCTTGTCCACGTCGTCATCGCGCAAACCCAAGCCAGTGTGACCCAACACGGCAGATGATACGAGCGCCCATGACACGAGGGCCGTAATGAATTGCATGAGTTAGTGCATCATATTTCGTCGTTTTTGTGAGTGATGGCCGGTGAGGTTCAGGAGCGCCATCTGCCGTTATATTGTATCGTATCTTTACTCATGATTATTATTTATGCTGCATATGACCCCCATGTAACAGCAGATACCTATAGGAAAGGGAGGGACGAAGAGATGGTTCTCCCCTGACGTGTGGGGCCTTTCCTGGCCGCCTGAGGGCTGGCCAAAAGTTTCCCTGCAGATGTCCGACGGGCGCCGAAATGTTTGCGTATGGATGCGTCTCTTGAGAAATCGAGCTGAAACAACTAGCAGTAAGTTTCCAAGGGATTTCCAGAACTGTCTAGGGATTTGGATCGGCGAGGAGGCTCTCGATTGTCGGAAAAAGTGTCTAAATTTGATCACAATAGCAAATGCCTGGGATCCAAATAAACCTTTCGGCCCTTCCCAGGTTGCGGGACGGCTCGCATAAGTTTCGCCCCTCTCCCCTCCCCACCCTTTCACCCACCCTCAATCTTGGCGAAGCCTGCTACGCCTGTACGGCTGTACGCTGCGTCTGTACAGGAGCCTCATGACAAAAGTACACTCATCTCTCTCGTATTGTTTTGAAGCATTTAAAGCGCACGTGAACTCCCCATGCTAGTGTTTTCCTTCACACCATAATATCTCGCGACCGGTTTGTGTTCCAGGGTCGTCGCCGTGTGTCGTATTTCCGAAGACGACGGCGGAGGTCTCAGACGTGCTGCGCTACTGCTCCGAGCGCCGCCTGGCGGTGTGCCCGCAGGGCGCCAACACCTCGCTGGTCGGCGGCAGCGTCCCCGTCTTCGACGAGGTCATCGTCAGCACGTCCAAGATGGACGACGTCATCGACATAGACCATGACGGAGGTGGGCTGGGCTAGCGGCACGCGATGGGCTGGGACGTGCTCATGCAACTTGGACGATGACGATGACGGATGGGTGGAACGGCCATACAGATGCAAGTTGCCGACACCGTAGTGGTTAACGTCGTCTGTGTTAACCACCAGAGTTTAGTGGTTAGCGCATCTGCGCTGCCTGGGAAACCAGAGGTACGGGTTTCGATTTCGCTCGGTGCCCTACCCTCCACCAGGGTGAGAGGCAAGCGACGTCATATAGTCTCAGCAGCTGAATACGTCGTCAAGCCCCAATGACGACGACGACGCCGTACAGATGCCTCACTTTCGATAAGGCGCAGAGTCACATCAGGAGGTTCTATCCGCTGCGACAGCCTCAGGGCAAACAACTGTAACATGCTAGAGAAAGTGCTTCACTTTATGCGGTAGACGATTGATATGCACGGTGGAAAGCTGCTTGTCCGCGCAGTTCCTCCGTTACTTCCTCCAAGTGTCTTTGTTTACTCAATTAACCCTCACATTTAGTTTGGAATGTTCTAGGCCTGCATTACGTCGCTAAGTTAGCTGACAAAGACCGTGACCGTCCTGCTCCTGGGGAACTCCGCAGGGACTCTGACGTGCGAGGCCGGCTGCTCCCTGAAGAAGCTGGAGAAGAAGACCCGTAAGAAGCGGCTCTACTTCCCAGTGGACCTCAACATCCGTGAGGCCCAGATCGGCGGCGTTGTGGCTGCTGACATGGCCGGCCCGAGAACGGCCAGATTTGGGAACCTCCACGGCAATGTGCTCGGTGTGGAAGTGGTAAGAACCATTACTATCCGAGCGTGTTCGTGATCGAAGCTTCAAGACTCCACCTGTGTTTCATCTCCCAATTTCTAGATTGCATGCATTGTTCGGACTGTTCCAGCCTATTGATTTCGATGGTTTTAGGCAGTAGCGGTGTGGCATGGCGACAAAATGCCTGTGGGGCGTGACAACTTCCGGACCAAGTATCTTACGGTCGCCACGTGTGAAATTTGCACTCTCGTGTGACCGCCCTCGGCGTTGTGTGCTATACTAGATTTCTCGCCCATGCATTTGAGCGCATGGTGTGCGTTCTGCGGTTAACGGGATTCCTCAATGATGTTTTAGGGTGATTGGTTGTGACTACGGGATCACAACAGCGTCCTGCTATCGGAATCGACTACAGATTTACAACGAATAAGCATCGAATCACGCACACGCACGCACGCATGCACGTACACGCACCCACACCCACACTCACACCCACACCCACACCCACACCCACACGCACACCCACACCCACACCCACACCCACATCCACACCCACACCCACACCCACACCCACACCACATCCACATCCACACCCACACCCACACCCACACTCGCGCACTTCGAACCACAGGTTTCACGCATAGCCGCACTGAACTGACGGGGTGACAAGTGGCCGTAATCTGACTGTTGCGACCGTCCCACAGGTCCTTCCGGATGGCACGGTGCTGGACTCCATGTCCACGATGAGGAAGGACAACACGGGATTCGACCTCAAGCAGATGTTCGTCGGCTCCGAGGGCAGCTTGGGTATCATCACAAAGGTAAGTCACATGTCACATGCATGGGCGCCCATGGGCCGACGCTTGCTGACATGACCGGGTCAGTATCATGTCAAGGCCATTTGAAGGACTCCACGAATTAACACAAAGTTGGGCACGGAATTGCGATCAATGGATGTTGCCTTGCATCAACATGTAAAAGCCGCTATGTTATGAATTTTACGGCATTTCTTCGTAGGGTACCCACTGCTGGTTGTGTTTGGTGACATGAGCTGTACGGAAGTGTGCCCGACGTGTTCCGTTATGTCTGGGCCGGTTTAGTACAGCGCCTGACAGTCCGGACCTGGAACAGTGCCAAAACGATGTTCGAGAATGAGTCAAGTGGAGCAGGCTTCGACGTTCTCACCCGCATGCCACAGAGCGGGCAGAGGCAGTGTATCCAACCCTCGATGAGTGCTTTTTTTTCTTGCGAAAGTTCCTTGTGATCGATGAAGTCTTCATGCTTGATTTCGTGACATTCCACGTCTCGACGCTTCTGGTGACATTTTATCTCTGAAGTCTGGAGTGAAATTTTGCGGGCACGGTTGGTGTTCATGGTTGGTCCGCCAAAACAGACCCTCGATCGCCCTTGGAAGCGTAGACCGTATTGTGGGCGGAACGTAGATACGTATGCTGACTATCCATTGCAAACTCCAGGTGTGGCTTACGTGCGCTGCATTGGATAGGATTGGCATGCGCTCAAATAAGTCAAATCACGTATGGGAATCGGCATGTCAGTCTCCAACAGCTGACATACCTTTACAGCTTTCACCGTCTGCCGCCAGGTGGCTATGGCCTGCCCGCCAATGCCGAAGCACATCAACGTGGCGATGGTGTACACAGAGAGCTTTGACCACGTGCTGGAGATCATGCGGCTGGCCAAGGACCAGCTGGGCGAGATCATGTCCGCCTGCGAGTTCATGGACAACGTGAGTCAAGCGCAGCAGGGTGGAGGCCAGTCGGAATGACAGGTGCTTGGCTGTGTTAATGTGTGTGCGTGCGTGCGTGCGTGCGTGTGTGTGTGCGTGCGTGCGTGCGTGCGTGCGTGCGTACGTGCGTGCGTGCGTACGGGCGGGCGTGCGGGCGCGCGTGCGGGCGTGCGGGCGTGCGTGCAACAGCTAGTGCCATGTGTTCGAGTTTGGCCTGCCACACCGCCGCTGCCCGAGATGGGCTCGGACACATCGCGGTACTCTTTTGGCTGCCGACACCTGCTGCCACCGCGCTGTCTGACCGTTCACGGTGGATCCCCATCAATGGCTGAGCCGGGCCATTGCCTGGCGCCGGCTTCAACCGCCTGGTTTGGACTCGACTGACTGTACCGCAGAGGAGGCAAGCGTTTCGCGCACTGTCCATCGACGTGGGCTTCAGATGTGGGGTCGTTTCAAAACAAAGGAGTAGTTATCTGATCCGTGACGCCGGTTCTGCTTGCGGCAGGACGCCGTGATGTCGGTGAAGCAGAAGCACCTGACCATGTGGGGAGTGCCCGACAAGCCGTACTACGTGCTGATCGAGACGGCCGGCCACTGCGACATGCACGACGAGGAGAAGCTCAAGTTCCTCTTCAACATGCTCAAGGACAAGCGGCTCATCATGGACGGTCAGATCGGACCGCTGAATTATGACGACCCGACCTTCGTTGAGGTGGGTTGCGCGAGCGAGGCGCCGATTTTGCCGCCAAGGGATTATATTTGCGTCAAACCGTGTGTTGTCAAGCCTTGTATTGGCTCTCGCAAGCGTTTAATTGGGGTGCTGTAAGTGACCTTAAGAAATGGTCCGGACAGGTGGCAGGCACAGGCAATAGGGGTGTATTCGCAGCGCACCAGGATTGTTCCTGTCCGCGTGACGTCGCGGAGGGGTTTTGCCGGACACGCTCGCAGCGCGACACGTTGTCTATTTATATCGTCGTCACTTGCAAATAACTGCACATGCGAGACACTAGCGGCTACAAACAGCAAATGATGTTGTTTGTAACATACAACACATTTTTTTTTCATATCTGGTCGGCCCGGAGCTTAGGTAGCCTTGGTCCGGAGAGTGCAACATTACTTGTTTGTGATGGACCCCGGTGCGTCTGTTCTGTCTCACATCGATCAACTAACGGCAAAAAGATTCTGCGCGTCCAGAAAAGATTGTACGTGACGTCACTAGAATCTTTGTCGTCCGGAACACCTTGAACGCCAAAAACCGTAGAATCTACGAGACATGACGCTATGCATGACGTCCATGGCATATACTCCTTGCCATCCTAGTTGCCGTGAACTAACTCAAACCTTACCGATGTTTTGTGTGCTGCAGCGACTGTGGAACATCAACGGCCGCATTCTGACGGCCCTCTCCGCGGCCGGCAATGTCTACCACTACGACGTCTCGCTACCACACGCCAAGCAGTACCCGCTAGTGGAAAAGCTGCGGAAGGATCTGGGCGATGAGATCACGAAGGTAAGAGTGACCAAAAAACAGCTCCAGACATCCTGAACTTAAGCATGCTAGCATGCCAGTCGTTTACGCTGACACAATGGCTTTGCTATGTATGCTCATCACGCTTTCAGAGGCTCCTGCACCATCAGCTATTTTCTTGAGCAAAAACAAATTACAAGCTTACCTACTAATTCAGACTGATCTACTTCACCCAGTCCAACACCAGTCTGTCGCCTCCAAACGTATAAGCTGTCCTCGGCGATGGTGATTTCTCCTCAACGAAGTTCAGACCGCCGATGCGCTATCCAACGCCTGTTCACCTCGCGTCAGACCTTTCCTGAGCTCTCTCCCAGCACGTCTGACTCGCTCGAGTCACGCGAGCTCCCCTCATGCTACGGAGCCGCGGCGACTCCGGCAGCCTCCTGACTTGGCCGCAGGTGGCGAGCTTCGGTCACCTGCTGGATGGCAACATGCACCTGGCGCTGCTGTCAAGCTCGTTCTCGGCCAGCACGATGGCCGCGCTCGACCGGCTCATCACCGAGTACGTGACGGCCGCCGGCGGAGCCGTCTCCGCCGAACTCGGCTGCGGCTTCAAGAGCAGGTATGGCCGGCGGTGAGGCCGGCGCGGCTGACTCGAGATGTGGCGGAGATATGGAGGGGCTTCGGTGGGGGTCTGTTGACAGTGTGGTCTGGGTACGTTACGCTGGTAATTTTCGAAATATGTGTATCGAAGAAAGTTCGGGGCGGGGAGGCAGGTGATCCGAAACTGGAGTTGTTCGGAGGTGCGCAAAACAAGATCAGATGGTGTATTATGTGACCCGTTTCATTTCGGAAGTCGCAGACACCATGAGTCTTTGGCGGCTACTTTTGGATCTGTGTGCGAGCGATGAGTTTGAGGTTGTGACTACATTCTGGCACGTTTAATCCCCATCCCCCGTCGTCAGCTGCACTGGGTGCGCGTTTCGCTGCGGCCTGCCTGGCCGTTGCGATGAGCATCCATCGCTGACATCCGTGCGCCGGTGTTCGCAGGAACCTGGGCGCCCACTGCAAGGATCCGGTGGAGATGAAGATGATGCGCGACGTGAAGAACATGCTCGACCCCAAGGGCATCATGAACCCGTACAAGGTGTTCCCGGACAGTGTGTGAGCGGCGCGCCAGAGCGGCTGCCGACCATGAGCGCTCTGCCAGCGGCGCTCGGAGCGGCGGCGCGGTGTGTGTGTGTGCAGGCCGGCCGAGCGCAGGGGTGTGGCGGAGTCAGAGACCGGTCAGCGGACCGTGACGCGCCGGAACGCCGTGCAGGAAGTGTGTGGACGCGACTGGCCGGGAGAGCTACCGTGATGGCAAGTGGTTCTACTAAAGATACAGACTGACTGGCCTTCCGTTCGTGTCGATCACTCATTGGCTGGTGGGAGTCGTCTGGTCCCATAGCGGACCAAGACAAGTGGTAAATATATCGATTTCACGATACATACGTTTTACACAACTGATGCGTCGGTTTTTCCTCACGGATTTGACCTAATATCCTTGTAATGTTGGAGGGGTTGGAGCCCAAGTGGGGGAGGATTGTACTTGAATACGAAACCACTGTAACCATACGGAAGGCTAAGTTTCAAAAAGTGAAAGCCCAGGACGCCGAATATGGAAGAGTAAAATGACAAAACTAAACGGCAAAAACACAAAAAAAGGTATCCATGAAATGCGACTAGGGAAATGGTGAAAAGGTTTAACGAGAATAAATTAAGTAGGCAAAAGGCAAAGTCATGAAACTTGACGGACCAACATGAAACAGCTAAAATTAAACTGCACAAAAGTGAAATGCATGCAGCTCCATGCAAATGCATAAAGGCCATAGGCCAAACGGAGCGAAAGTGGAAAGGTTAAAAGCAAGAATGCTGGGAGGTCAGATGAAATAAATCCAATTTTCAAGAAATCAAAAGGGATCAAACTGGCGAACACCATTCAGAAAGGCAAAAGGAAAAGAAAATGCTTGGGGAACGCAAGTCCGGAGGGTGCGAGTGCAGTCCAAAAGTGAGCCAATCACGCCTCATCTTACATCAAAATGAGGCAGGTTCTGAGCTCCTGAAGCAGTCGCCGACGTGTGGCCCATTCTGAACCAAAGAAGGCACATTCCGCGCCCACTGCGGGGCCATGAGACCTGTTCGTTCCATTGCCTTGCAGTCTGAGACAGATCCTTTATGTGACACCGCGTTATATAGATATATAGATATAGATATAGATATATATATATATATATATATATATATATATATATATATATACAACAATACAATAACGCGATCATAAACCATACATAGATTGCCCATTAGGTTATGAAGTGCCCTAAGCACGATCTGCTAGATCTGCTAGAACTGCACGGCAATTCGTCAAAGAGATAAGACAACGAAAATGATATTATGAAAATGCACGATGACATCGCGAGTTCTTTTTTCATCTTGCTTTACTAAAAATATTTAATGGCTAGAGCAAGTGCATCAGAAAGCTGCATAATGTTTTTTTAATAGGTCAGTATAACATTTAAGGTCAACAAAGTTAATTAAGTGACCGAATCTGACCTTTCGCTACATTTTCAACAACAAAAAAACGCGGTGCCTTCAATTTTCTTTAAACCAATATGCCCGCCGAAGACCAGTTAAATGCCGTTCAAACCACAAAAATAACCGATGTGCTCTCTTTTACATCAGTCACCAAAATAATTTGAACATTGACGGTGACATATGGCTGCACGTCGTAAGCCGGCAGGCCGGCCGGTGTCGGGCTGGCGGATGCGATCGGCTTACTCCGTCGTGAACTGTAGCCGCGACCTTGACCAATTCACTCAGGTCGACCTTTGCCAGTCACTTAGGCGTTAATCCGGTATTTCAGGACAATTTCTACTTGACGAATACGTTTGAATCGACCGTGCGTACCGGTCGTCGTTCACGAGTCGCGTCGATGGCAGTGTCGTGCGTGCGGAATCTTCGCAGCATTTCGATAACCATTATGTAAAGCTCAGCTGGGGTTGCACTAGAGAAGAAGCAAACCATTGGGCTGAAATTATGGTATTTTTTAAAAATCTGACCATCAGCCAGAGCAAAATCGCGCTGTGTGCTGGCCCAGCGTGCCTGAAACTGTATGCATGAAATTTCATACAGCACACGTCTAATTCGCCGCTGGTTCCGGGCAAACCAATGGAGGGCCAAAGTCAGGGTAGGTGGAGTCAATGTGTGTTAAGCTGCATTGCCAGAGAGTTCTAAAAATGAAGAACTGCCGTTTTGTCGTCTTCGCCAAATGTCACACTAAAAAGAATCGGGTGAAAATGATCGAGGGAATGAAGTACAGAAAGATTGCTTCCACTGCATGGTTATTTTCCATGAGGGCAATGCAAACCGTTCGCTATCATTGCTAGTTTGACGATAGGCGACAGCTAACAGACAGGCGACGCTAACTTGTTGCGTTGTCGCAAACAGACAAAGTCGCTGTGCCATGCCAAACTGAAGACATACATAAATTTGTTTAACGTGTAGCGTAAAGGAACACGCAAGCGCTAGCGCAAAATCATGGGCAGCTTTCTATAGCAGAACCTCATTTAATTGGGTCCCGTAGAAATTGGCAATGAATTGTGTACAGTTTGTAGGGGGGAAAACATCGCCATCCACCTTTTTCTGATTTTGATACAATCATGTGGCACACAGGATGCAAACTTGTGGCACTGTCCTTTGATACAATCGCGTTGGCAGATCCGAGTGGATCTGCCGGCGCGGTGTGCTTTATCCAACCGATTTTTGATGTCGATAAATAGAAGGCCCTCATTTTATTTATTGCCTTGTCAACATTTTTTGCTCGGGTATGATGCATGTAACAGCTTGGTAAATGAGCACGTGCCCTCGGTGCCTCTCCCCATTAAAAACGACACTGTCCAGGAGCCCCCCCCCCCCCCCAGTGATGAGGCCCCTGTGAGGAGGCCCACTTTTCCGGGAATCCCCCTTTAGAATCCTGCCCCTCAACTCAAAATTCGTGGACCGCCCCTGATGAGCGCAATACGTCGTGAAATCTCAGTGCTTCTAGCTGCAAATAGTGACGGACATGATCAAATGCCTTCAATTGCTGAACTAATTACACCGACGCTACCTGACCAACACCCACGGCTAAAAATCGCTGCCTGAAATGCTCAGGACTACCATCTCAGTTTAATGACTCCTACAAAGCCGGTGCTAGCTCGATATATCAGGATACCAATGTAAAATGGGTCGCAAGCTGCTGGCACACCAGGTCATCTTTTACCACAAGCACTTTTGGTATGCGAACGATTGGTCTTAGTTGCGTGGTGCGGCCAGATCTAACGATCAGGCCTACATGCCTCCATTTACCACAGCAGTATCCCAGAGACGAAACTGCTGTTGATGACATGCAGCAACGCTTTCGTAAGAACTGGCAGGCAGACCTTGGCAGTATAAAGCGTCATGCCATCGCGACCACAAACGCCGCTGGTGTTCACCGATACCATAGCACCGTTTGATTGAACGGAAACTGCAACCATAGCCATTGGTGGTCTTGCTCCTTGGAATGCGTGTGCGTAGCCTCATAACCTTTCATATAATTCGGCTCGCTCCTCAGTTCGGACAAAAAGACCGTCCTCAGGCCGACGTGGATTGGTCTTTTCATTTTAATTTCTCATTTCTCTTCTCCGGCCGAAAAAGAATCCCGCAAAGACCCAGGGGTCAATGTGGCACCGCCCCTTGACATAAAAGAGCACACAAAGGCTGGGGTCCTATACGTGATCTACAACTAGCCACTCGGAACTTTTGGACCCCCGGTGATCGGCACAAAGGGCTCTCTAATTGGCACCTGAGGGCACGAACCTGCGGACCGGAACCACCAAATGAGACCTATTAGCCCCTCGGGTGCACCGGGCACTCAAATCAAACACTTGACTGCTGGTCCCGAGGAGCCCTCTAACTTCTCACGCAGTTGGCGCTTTTAGCTACTATGGCATTGAGCAGTTAAAACAATGTATACCTACAGTGCATGAATCCTGTCTTCTTGTTTGGAGATAAATGTGCGCACTAAGTGATAAGAATTATTGTTTGATCTGGATCCATACCAAAAAAAGGAAGGGGGTCGGTTTTTGATGATAGGTTTGGTTCGTTAGTAATATTAGCAGTCAAGTAGTGCCGTCGTCTGATGTGCGACTAGCGTTGCGAGCAATGGCGCTGCTGTGGGCGAACGCATATGGGGCCTGTCGACGCATAGTCAAGGACGCAGTGTTAATTCATCGCACTGGAGCTGAAGGTGGGTCCAGCGGTGATTTCCCCTCGTAGATTATGGTATTTACATAAACCTCTGTTTGAACCAGGAAAACCTTGAATTATTACCTTCAAGAAGCAAACCAGTGCACCTCATAACCGGGCTTAACGGTTTTGATCCCGAGGCAGTTCTTTCGATCCTACACGTTTTCTGTTTTATCCACTGGGCTCGATCTGCAAAAGATCCATCCGCTGCGCCAGATTCCTGCGAGACATCAGTGCGCTGAACCTTGTGCTCGCATTGGCCGAGCTCAGCTGGGCTGATATAAGCTGATTTTTGTTAGTATGTTTGTGAAAGTGTGTTTGGAGCCTTGGTTTGGAGTGTGTGAGCCAAAGATTGTCCTTGCAAAATAATAATTCCTTCATGCAGTGGCTCTCTATGTGCTGAAATTGGTAGTGACTGTGCACCATATTTAGAGTAGTCAGGCTTCTGCCATACATATATTGACATGCTGCAATGTCTGCTATCCCAAGCATGTTTGGCTTAGTACATATATTTTACAGCCTGGTAATGAGCCTTAAATTTAGGAAATGAAAATCTGTAATGAATCTTCTGTGCAAGATTGGTTCAAAATGTCTTGTATTGGGCAGTTTTATTCCTTTTCTAGTGTCATATGTTACATCTAATCAGAAGCACTATGTTTTGCAAGAGGTCAGGGGCTTATGCTTAGATGATATAAAACAGCTCATTGAAAAAGATGATTGAGTCATGCTCCACCTGATGTGGATGCTTGTGTTCGTTTTTGGATGCATGTGTGTGTTTTCTGGTCAGGAGCACAAAAATGAATTGTAGTTGTGATGGTTTGTATATTCTGTGTTGTTGTTTTTTTTACCAGTACACTATTATGAAGTGTATGTGTCTTGGCAATGGTGTATGAACTGGAGGCCCTTAGAGAGGCTGTTCCTTTTAGTTTAGGATCATCTTACAGTGACGCTATGGATGTTGACTAAAAACAACAAAAGGCTATGGACCCTATCTGAACTTCATAGGACCTCCATTGTCACTGTGCGCTAATATGTAACCCCTATTGACATAATAAACTTCCAACTTAAGAGGAGTTCACTGCATTTTTCTGCTTCCTCTTACTTATAGCTCAGCCATACTCATCTTCTTTGGTGGGTAAAACAGTTTTTGCAGTTTTTAGCTCAATTTTGATTTAAAGTACCTGTTCAGATGAGAGAAATGCTATCAGACTCCCATTTTGTCACTATGAAAGTGGTACATTTTATTTGCTAGACTTTTCCCAACTTGTGCATTAGTTGATATTCACTTTATCCTGATTACTGGGTCAGAATGCTGGTGTAGTACATAATACTGCTTGAAACACCATTTATGACTTAGACTGAACATGATGGCAATTATCATGTGAGTTAAAAATATATTGTACTACAATAAGCAATACTATGGCTTTGCTTGGGGCATTGTTCTAAATCATCCAACAATGTGTATAGTTAATTTTGACTGCTTTTTGTTGCTACATACCATTACTGAACATTTCTGTCAGCTGTGGCTTGCTTTCTTGAAGCAATAGCTAGGACTTTCAGTGCTTGAAAACATCCTTTTTATAGTAAGCTTAAAACTTTATTCAAAAGTACTGGAAGACACTGCATTAGCACAGGGCAAATCAAATGCTTAAGAACTGGTGAACTGTATTAGGCTAATACCCCTTTAATAGAGTGTGCCATGTGTTTGTACCTGCCTGTTATGTTTTGTTTTTAAGGTATTTATGAGTTTGACCAGAGTGATGCAGACCTGAATAGTATGCTTAAGCTATGCATGCCTTTTGTTGTACTTCAGTCATTTTCAAGGTCAAACATGCAGGTGTCATATGTATTATTGAAGTCAGATAACCCTGTGAGTAGTTGCCAGGGCTGGCCATCATTGTGCATGTAGATGAACCTTGATGAATATGATGCTTGAAGAAATGAGCTTTAACCTGCAAAGATCTACCCTTGCTTGACAGGAAGATGATTTGATTATTTGAATTTTATTAAAGATGTCCTCATGGTATGATTTTTGAGGATTAAAATGATACAAAAAATAGTTGAAGTTTATCATCATTCATCATCACTGTTTGCTTGTGCCTGTCACTGGCATTGCATGATGAAAATCTTAAGCTGGTCAGTAGCCCTCAATAGGCAGCTGTGTTTTTGTGGCAGAATATGGCGACAGGCGTGATTCTTCCACCGCCCACGACCAACCAGCTGTCAAGTCTGCCTGGCAATAGTGCACCAAAGGGCTTGCCCTGCATACGGCGGCAATGCCGCTATGTTCGGAAGGTCCTGATCAACATCAATGACCTGAGGAAGGCAACCAAGTTCTGTGATGTGGTACTGATGGCCGGAGATGCAGGCTTCAAGGTGTGTACATTCCTTTTTTACTCATGATGCAAAGAAGTTGTGCTAGATAACAATGATCCCACACTTGGCAGCATAAATTAAGTAAGTGGGCCAAAACAGGGAGTATGTGAGGAGCACCTGACCACAGGGTAATTACCTCTATACTGGGTGTTAGAAAGCAGGTGCAATTAGACCATACCCTGACTTTAACATTGTCCTGGTGATGTGTTGCGCGTCAGTGACGGTGTGTGGCGCCTCTGGGCAGGCGCACAAGGCGGTGCTGTCCGCCAGCAGCCCGTACTTCCACGCCATGTTCAACGGCGGCCTGGCCGAGCAGGAGCAGAGCGTGGTCAGCATCCGGCGACTCTCGCCCGTCATGCTCTCCATGCTGCTGGACTTCATATACACTGGTGAGCGGCGCGGAGGCCGGCCGGGCGGCCAGGCAGACAGGCGACCAGGCGACCGGGCGGCCGGGCGGCCAGACAGCCAGGCGGCCAGACGGCCAGACAATCAGGCGGCCAGGCGGCCAGGCGGCCAGCAGGCCTGACGCGCTCACGCGCTCTGGGAGGCGACAGGCTGCAGCGCGAGTCATGACCACGGCATTACATCTCCAGGTGGTTGGCGTGGGTCTTCCGATCAGTGGTGTCGAGACGCTTGCTGCCGAACTGACACCTCAGGTGTCGCTTCGCGTCCCCAGTTGAGTGACGTCATTACCCGGCTCGGCCAAACTATGCTGAGTGGTCGCTCGCGAGACGAGATGCTGCGGCGGCGGCTCCGGCACGGCCGCCGCGAGCCGCGCTGCCTGACGAGGGGTCGACGTCGGATCTTGGTGTGACTGCCGTCCGGTCCACGCGCCCCTGCAGTTGCGTCGCGCGCTCACGCGCCGCGGTCGGCCGCAGGTGACGTGGACGTGACCGAGGAGAACGTGCAGGAGCTGATACTGGCGGCCGACATGCTGGAGCTCAGCGACGTCGTCGAGATCTGCTCCGCCTTCCTCAAGCAGCAGCTCGAGCCCAGCAACGCCATCGGCATCTACAGGTCTGTCCCAGGCTCGGGCGGCGTGAAAACGAACACGGATAATGGAGCGTTTCGTTTGAACCTTGGCTGCTTCGTCTGCCGCACGTTCCGCCCTCTGTTCGTTCCGCCATGTGTTGTCGCGATGTGTTGGAGCGGTGAGGGTATCGCGGTGTTGTACGGCGGCGGGATGTGGTGTTACAGTGGGTGGGTGACGATTGCGCCGTCGCCCGCCTGCGGCCGCTTATCTGACCCCTGCCACAGGTTCCCTCTGGCGTGCCACCCGCTGCTTGACCGCCTCCGCGACCCGGTCCTCTCCCGTGACGTGACCGACGCCTCGTGCCCCGTCCGACGGCCGACCCGGCGCCGTGCCGCAGGTTCAGCGAGGGCCACAACCTGTGGTCGGTCAGCAACGCGGCGCGTGCCTTCATCAACGGCCAGTTCGCCGCGTGCTCCAGCGAGGAGGAGTTCCTGGAGGTGCCGCACACGCTGCTGATGGAGCTGGTGCGCAGCGAGGCACTCGAGATCGACTCCGAGTACCAGGTGAGAGGGGCTCGGTCGGCTGCCGCCGGTGCAGGTGGACCCCGTGGAGAGATTCAGCACTTGATATCGGCCCTCAGTACCGGGTGCCGCTTCCGGTGTGGACCCTGAGCACCAGCCGAGACTGCCAGAGTCGACTGCCGCCTGTGAGGGCCGACTCCGGGTGTCAGGTTACGGTTGCACTACCGACCACCATCGGCACCGCTCCCAGTCCACCCCGGCACCAGATGCGGGTCATGCCACCGACCGCCACCGGTACCGCTCCCAGTCCACCCCGGCACCAGGTGCGAGTCATGCCACCGACCGCCACCGGCACCGCTCCCAGTCCACCCCGGCACCAGGTGCGAGTCATGTCACCGACCGCTGGCCGGTCTGCTGTGGCAACTGATTGGAGGCATGGTTATGATCGCGCACCGCCGTCTGTACTTCAGCCATCCGTCGGATTTCTGGAGCTGTTATCTGCTTGACTTGATGAATGGATCGGAGTTTGCTGTTTATCGCCCAACGTTGTCATTTAAATGTCCTACTTATGTTAGGGGGAAAGCCAATTGTCTACGCACCACCGTAATAGTATTGCCTGGACTGTTTACAGTGCATTACCTCCTAGGGCCTTCAGCGTGACATGTATGACGCATATTGTGGCGAGGGACGCTGAAATGTAGACGGCTACATGGCTTGACGGGCGCAAAATGACCTTTGTAGTCGGGCACCCTAAAACCGTAAGCATCACAGTTGGCGGCTACCGGTGAAATGTTGTCACTGGGCTAGGGCGTCCGCTTGCCCACACTGCCATTATAAGCTTCCACAGCGTCACATGATGACTGTGCTGCTTTGCCGTGGACACTGGAGCTTTGGATGCCGTTCGGGCTTGGTTTTGTGCCACCCCTCACCGGCTGCGCGGTTTCTGTCCGACGCCACGCACGCTGTCGTCAGCTGTTTGGGTGGCCCTGCCCTGGCACGGCCGGATCGAGTCATGGTGCCGCTGGCCGGCTGTTGACATGGTGCAGCAGGCAGTTTTTCACTTCGACCACTGGGTGGCAGGGTTATTGGCATTCATGCTATTCGTTCATGCTGTTATACTCCTGGCTTGGGGTTTGCTGCCCGTTACCCCCCCCCCCCCCCCGCTCAAAATCGACCAATCAGCATCGAAACGGGTGGCAGTCGACGCAGCATTTAACCGCCTCAGGCCTGACAAATGGGCCGGACGGGTCAAATGTCTGGGCTTGAAGTCAAGGAACGGCGACGGATTGTCGTCAATAATTGCGTGCGGAGGCTGTTGGAGAGCCAGGTTTTTGGCAGCATGAATTGATATTTACATCCTGCTCATCCTACTGAATGAATTTGGGAACGCAGTCCACATTGTCTGATGCCTTGTCACCCTGCCGCCAGGTGTTTGAGGCGGCGCTGCGCTGGGTGGCGCACGACATCGAGGAGCGCCGCCGCTACGTGTTTGACATCCTCTGCCACATCCGGCTGCCGCTGATCCCGAGCAAGCGGATCGAGACGTGGATCAACGACTGCTGCGACCCCAGCCTCAAAGTGGCTCTCAGGTAGGCCATGGCGCCGGCCGCCTGGAGCTGTCTGGCTCGTTAGATTGCGCCTGCACCGTCCGGCTGCCGCGGTGCTGTCAGTCGCCTAGTGTGGCGGGTGGAATGGTCAGTGATCGATCAAGGACGGCTGGATTGGAAGTCCTCTATTGGAGCGGATGAGTAGCCCGTCCCGTCCCGTTTTGCATTGTCCGGTCCCGTTTTGCCGCCTCGTCCCGTTCCGTTCCGTCTCGCCCCGTCTCGTTTCGCATCGTCCTGTCCTGTCCCGCCTCGTCCCGGCCCCTTCCGCATCGTCTCGTCCCGTTCCGCCTCGTCCCTTCCCGTCCCATTTCCTTCAGTTCGTTTCTGTTCTGTAGTATCCTACCCCGTTTCTTTGTACGGCCCCGACGACACGTTCACGCCCTGCGGTGACCTGGACATCATCCATGATGCAATACCCTGTCGACGCACATCCTGTCTTGCCCTCCCCGGCCTGCACGGGCCTGACCCGGCATGGCTTGGTTGACCTGGCTTGCCTCGGTCCGTCCTGTCCTGTCCTGTCCTGCCCTGTCCTGTCCTGTCCTGTCCTGTCCTGTCCTGTCCTGTCCTGTCCTGTCCTGTCCTGTCCTGTCCTGTCCTATCCTATCCTATCCTGTCCTGTCCTGTCCTGATCTGATCTGATCTGATCTGATCTGATCTGATCTGTCCTGTCCTGACCTGTCCCGTTGTGACGTGACCTGACCGGCCTTGACCCGACCTGACCTGCCGGCGGGTGCGCGGGCGGCCGGCAGGTCGATGAAGCGGGACCTGGACGGGCAGATGGGCTGCCTGGTCAAGCTGTGTGCCGAACCACGCCACTCCGCCAAGAAGACCATCTACGTGATCGGCGGCTCCAAGAAGGAGCTGGTCAGCTCGTGGACGCGCTCCGAGAACGCCCTCTGCTCGACCGAGTGCTTCGACACGTTCAACAAGGTGCGCTGACCGGGCCCGAGTCGGTCCCGTGACCTGACCCGGCTGTCGTGGCCCGCTGACACGCCGGGGCGCCGCTGGCTGGGACGCGGGACGTACGCCTCCGCGTTCGGCGCGTGGAGGCAGCTCTTACGCCTGCTGGTTGCTCTGAGAGATGATTCAGCTCAGCTGACTGGTTCGTGCCCGTCACATGTCGATCTATTCGTGGGGTGATGACGCGGGCGCTGAGTGCTGACGTGCGCGTAAATGATCTGCTTCGTAGCCTATATGTCGGTCGCAGCGTTCTGAAATTCATCCAGTTCAGGTGCAGGAAGGGAACATGAATTCATGCTACCATAATCTTGGCTCTCCGGCGGCTTCCGCACGCAATTCGTTGGCGCTAATTCGTTGCCCCTTGACCCATCTGACCCGCCTGACCCATTTGTCAAGCCTTAGGCGTTTAAATGCTGCGTCATCTGCCTCCCGTGTCGGTGCTGATTGGCCGATTTTGACCAGGGGGAGGGACCACAGGCAGAGAACCCCAAGCCGGGGCCCGTAATAGCATAAAAATATCGACAGCCCTGCCAGTCAGGTGTTCGAATGTTGAAACGCTGGTCGAACACTAATGAATTTCTTGGAATGAATAATCTGACACTCCTGAACCCGTACAGGATGGGCGTCATTACTTGGATGCATCACTATGTGTAGTCACGCCATTCAAATGCACTCCGACGGTATCTTGTCTGTGCCATATGTTCTTGTATGTTAGTGGACCTGCTCTGTGGCCCGCTTTGTGCGCCGTGTGGTCTGCTCTGTACCTCGTGTGACCCGCTCTGTGCGCCTTGTGAACCACTCTCTGGTCCGCTCTGTGTGCTGTTTGACTTGGTTTGTGCACCGTGTGGTCTGTCCTGTGACCCGCTCTGTGCGCCGTGCGACCCGCTCTGTGCGCCGTGTGACCTGTCCTGTGACCCGCTCTGTGCGCCGTGCGACCCGCTCTGTGCGCCGTGTGACCTGTCCTTTGACCCGCTCTGTGCGCTGTGTGACCCGCTCTGTGCGCCGTGTGACCTGCTCTGTGCGACGTGTGACCCGCCGTGTGACCCGCTCTGTACGCCGTGTGACCTGCCCTGTGACCCGCTCTGTGCGCCGTGTGACCTGCCCTGTGACCCGCCCTGTGCACCGTGTGACCTGCTCTGTGCTCCGTGTGACCCGCCGTGTGACCTGCTCTGTGCGCCGTGTGACGCTTTGCTCGGCCCTGGCCAGGTGTGGCGGCGGGCCTCTCCGATGCGTATCGCGCGCATCCTGCCGGGCGTGGCCGTGCTGAACGGCCGCGTGTACGTGGTGGGCGGCGAGCAGGAGAGCCTCATCATGGCCAACGGCGAGATCTACAACCCGCAGGTAACGCCGGCGCCGGCCGTCCGTCCCCGATCTCCCCTCCCGGCCGACTCCGGTGGGCGGTGGGCGGAATGACCGGCGACTGGGTCACTGCGAGCCATGGCTGCTTTGATGTCATGCCTTGTGTCAATCTGCCCGATGTTCTGCGCGCCACTGGGCGGAGGCAGCCACGAGTGACGCGTTGTCGTACGTCCGCGTCAAGTTGTAGTGTATCATGGAGCACTACTGTTGTCGGCCCGGTCAGGGACTCGGCCGGCCCGCCGGGCGCGCTGGGCTTCGGACACGGGGTCCCCGCTACTGTGCCGGTGGGCACGGCCATTGCCAGCCCGCCGTCAGGGGGGCCAGCAGTCCATCACTTGCCCGTCCTTACGATGGTCCCCTCCGCCCGCCGTCAGGAGGACCAGTGGTCCAACATGGCCTGCATGATCTCGCCGCGGGTGGAGTTCGGCCTGGCGGCGGTGGACGGCAAGCTGTACGCCATGGGCGGCTGGGTGGGCGTCGACATCGGCGGCACCATGGAGGTGTATGACCCGGACCGGGACGAGTGGACGCTGGCCGCCAACCTGCCGGCGCCGCGCTTCAGCATGGGCGTCGTGGCCCACCAAGGTGAGCCAGCGGCCGCGGTCGGAAGAGTCGGCCCGCTCTGACACAGACGTGACCGCCTGGCGCCCGCTCGCCTGGGGGTGGTGATCAGATCCAGCACAGCAGAGTTTTTGTGGCCCTGCACACTGGCTTCGGCCTAACGCTGCTGCGTGGGCATCGACGTGCTCGACAGGGTCTAATGCAACATCTGTTTCGGGGGTGGTTCTGTGCAGCAAAGCATAATTAGCACAAATACACCCTTCGTCCCAACTTGTCACATTTGGCATGCCTTAGCTTGATGGGCCGCAGTACCCAGTATCCATCATATTCAACCCCACATTATCCCTGACGAATGACATCTGCCTCGAACCTGACCTCCCCCTCCTGACACCTGACACCGAGCTGACCCGTGCCGCGGGCCTGACCCGGCGGGCGCGCCTGCCGCGCGCCCCTCCGCCGCAGGTCTGATCTTCCTGGTGGGCGGATGCACGCACTCGCAGCGCCACCTGCACGACCTGGTGCGCTACAGCCCCAGTGCCAAGCAGTGGACCGAGCTGGCGCCCATGGGCGTGGCCCGCTCCCAGATGGGCGTGGCCGTGCTCGACGACTACCTGTACGCCGTCGGTGGCATCGACCGCAAGAACGAGGTGCTCACGGTGGTCGAGCGCTACAGCTTCGAGGAGGTACGGACCGCGGCCGCCGCGATGCTTCCTTGTGCGTGCATGCGCGCCCGCGTGTGTCCGTGTGCGGTAAGAAGTGAGGTAGTGAAGAGGACCACGTTGGTCGGCGTTTTGATGGATGTCGCTATCTGTGGAGACAAGTGTTCTAGTTCTTGGAGGTTCTGTAGGATGTGCGGATCAAATTAAGTAGTTGTTTATGCGGGGCCACTAATAGGCCATGAAATATAGCTACGGGATTACATGATTCTCTGTTGTCACGACCAGCGTCGTGTGAAGATTACGTGCGTGTCGCTGGGCCACGATGGAGAAGTCACGTGTGCGCCTGTGCCGTCGCAGGATCGCTGGGAGGAGGTGAAGTCGATGACGGTGCCTCGCACCTCCCCGTCCGTGGCGGCCGCCAACGGCCTGCTGTACGTGATTGGCGGCGACCAGAACCGACAGCTGAGCGACTTCTACCGCGCAGAGATCACCGTTTCTGCTGTCGAGGTTAGTACCTCGTGTCTCGCTGTGCGTCAGTGTTACGCCTCCCGCTGGTAGCGCTTTTGGCTCGCACGTGGAGTAGGTGGAGGGGAGGGGGTCTAATTTGGGTCGTGCTATTGTCCGGAAAGTCGATATTATCGCCGTAGTCGCTGGCGCTCCGTGAAAAGGATGCGTGAAAGCGTGCGTCTCGCCTCTGTTTCGGAGGACAACTGCAGCGTCGTGTATGAGATGGCTTGCGTGAGTGTCGCAGTCGTGATCGTTCATTGGCCCCCCGGTGTGCTGACTGTGACTGTGTTGGCGCCGGCACTGCTCCCTGCTATGCTGTCCGTTCGGCTGGGTGTCTTGCGGGCCGACTGGCGTCCCGTGCTGACTCAAAGGTCTGTTGTCGGACACCGGGATACCTCTGACCTGCTGTCCCTTGACCTGACCCGGTCCGCGGCCGGGCGGGCGCCGTGTCTGGACCCGCCGCCCGTCAGCGCTGCAGCGCTAGGGCGCGCCCCGCCGCCCCTGCCGCCATCGGCTGCTGCCCTGACCTGACACTGTCGGCCGCCGGGCAGGTGTACGACCCGCTGTCGGGCGAGTGGAGCGACTCGACGCCGCTGCCCGAGTCGCGCAGCGAGGCGGGCGCCGTCGTCATATGACCGCGGCCGCCGCCTCGCCTCGCTGACGTCGTCAGCGCTCGTCCAGTGGTGGCCTGATGCCGACGTCGACGTGCGACCAGTGACGTCATTGGCGCTGCGGACGTCATCGCAAGGCCAAGCTGCGGGCCAATGGTGGAGACCGGTGGACACTCGGGTCTGGTGCGACTCAGAGCCGTCGAATATTACGGGATTGGGTTCGGCGGCTGCGCTCGTGTGCAGCTCTGTACCGCGAGATCTAGCCTGGAGAAACTTAAGCTTCGCAAGGCTGAAAGTAGTTTTAGCCCTGGTTTGTGATTGGTGTTGCGCAGTATGCTGCTGGCGAGGGCGACTGTCGTAGCCGCGTGGTAGTGGTCCGAGCTTTACGACGTGCTTCGCTGCCAGTCGGTTGCTTGTCCCGCGTGCGCGCCTCCTGACCGTGCCACGTGGGTCGGTGTTTTTGCTACCGCGTGTCGTCATCCTGCGTCGTACGGCTTGCTGGCTGTGTGGCGGGTCCCTAGAGGCACCTAGACGGGACCCTGCGCCGCGGGCGGGCCCCTGCCGCGCCGTCGGCTGTACCGCCCCAGTGGTTGTGTCCCGTCCGTGCTTTGGTGTGGTGGCGGCGGTGGAATCGGCTGGCGTCGGGCACAGAGGCGGTCCCAGAGATCCACGAGGGCGGTGCCTTTCTCGGTGTAGAGATATGCGTGGTGCGTGATTGCCACTCTTCGCTCTGTTGGACCTCCTTGCGTGCGATGTTGTTTGGGGGCTACTGTATGTCAAAGCT